CATTTTGAGTTTGCGCACAACTGTTGTCATAATACCATGAATCAGTGGCCTGTTTAAAGGGTTCCCTAGATCGTTAGAAGCAAGGAAATGGCACGGCTACGCCATGTAAATCTTGTCAATTTTTCTCAAGTATTTCTTTCAACAAATTTCGTTCCTTCAGTGCGTCATACATGAGTCCAAAAACTAACGATCCCGCATTTCTGTCTGTTTGGCTTCGACGAACTTTCTTCCTTCTTCGCAAGGCAAGTTTGTCTTGAAACAGGTACGTCCGTGAGGCCGTATGTTACTTTCCTATATCGTTTTCCTCCGCATTTCGTGCATACTGCTACACAGAGGTAATAAATGTAAATTACTCATTTACTAAAACTAATAACTTCAGTTCCTTCATACATACGGCTTCACAGCTGAAGAGCGCAAACAAGAATTTAGCTGCTCCAAGCCGCCTCTGGTGGGAGGGGAAGGACATTTAAGCTGTTACCTCCTTAAGCTAAATGTTTTCCGCAAATCAGTGGCCCTAAACGATAAAAAATACTTTCTTTAATTTTTTAACACCTAACATTGTGTAGAACTAGTACAAGCAATACACAATTATAACTCATACTGTACGAAGCTCGGTTCTTCATGCCAAGTCTTTAAACAGAAGTGAAAAAAAGTACGCATTTCATGAAAATACACAACCACTACGCAGCACACATATTTTAGTAAGAAGCACTCATAAATGCTATCCATTTACCACAATTCACCGACACTCGCATTGTGCAGAGACTGATTTTGATTACGGTGTTATCGTGCTTGATTTGCTTTGCAAGTACAACGACACGATATAAAACATACGACACGGTTGCCTCAGAAACTTCATTGCGTATAAGAATATATATATCAGGCAGTTCTCCGCTTTCTGAAAATACAGAAATGCTTTTCCCTGAACTATCATTGCTAATAGAAATATGTTGTTACTACCAGTAAAAATTAATTTTTTTCTTAAGTCCATGGATATTAACGAATTATGTGGTCGTGAATTTGTTGAACATGATCTTTAAATTAATTTTGCAACCCACATTGACGCGTGTGTCATTCAACTCTTAAACGTTTTAAAGTTCTTTCAGAGACTTCTTGAAGTATGAAAGATCATAGGCAAATCAGAGATGGATTCAGCGTCCGCTGACGTTCTGATCCAGAATTTGGACCTATTTAGTAATTTTAAAGCATCTTTTCAGGCTGCAGCGCATTATTTCTGCAAAACTGCAATGATAATGTGGCGCAAATTTTGATTTTCTTCATTTGCAGTAACTCTGTGTTGCCGGTTGCAGTAAGTCTGCTTGAGGTAGGAACAGCATTGGAGATCGCTGCGAAATTTCCACAAAACTTAGCTACCTATGTTTTTATGGCATTGCCATCATCGAACATTACATTGACTCGATCATTACCTGGGGTATCAGGGTCCACGAAGGTAGTTGGAGGACAAACTTAAGTACCGAAGTTTCGGCGATCAGAGCCTACTCATCGCTTTCTAGCAGTCGGGAACTTGTCATCACGTCAACGGTTGCAAATATCGACGAAACACTGACGAAAGTATCAATCACCAAACAAGTCGCTACCCCGTTCGGAATTAAACAAGCGCACAGCGCGATGTCATTCGAGCATATCAATAGAAGCTCCAAAGGAATAACACCGTCAGCGGAAGCTTACAATCGAAAATTGGAACATGCCCTCACTCAGAGAAAAAAAGCAAGTGCTTCGTGATGACTCCTTAAGCAACTAACTCGACATTTGGACACTCGTCCGCAAAATGGAATGACAACTGTCAATCTGCGTAGGTGAAAATAATTCCACTCAGATGTTGGCATCACGACGCGTGCTCAGACCAGTAGTGGTTTTCACATAAAATCCAACCTGGCTGATAGAATCACTGAATGGAAGCCAATCAGCAAAACGCTGGAAATCCTCCCACTGTAGCTACAGCAAGCTCCTTCGAACAGGTCCTTGCGCTCAATTTATAATATAAACATGAGTCCTTCCTTGAAAAAGGGGAGTGTGGTCTGCACGAGGTGCCAATTATGGACTTTCTCAATCTAATGGGCAATTTTATCTCGCGTGTCGGTGCAGACACTGAAAAGTCGAGAGCCGCAATTTCAAAAAATGGCCCTAGCGGTCATAAAAATCACAGAATGAAGTTGCTGCGATTTTATGCAAACAACGGGCTGGCTGTCTATTATGAACATTTTCTTCGATCATCAGTATACTTGGTATATTGAAGCTAGTACGTGGAAGTCGATGATCGATTTGACACTCATAGCATCCAACTTACAACGCTTTTTAATGGGTTTCGTGCTAAACTGTCAGTCGATCACAACCATAATGTTGGCGTGGTACTTTGTGAGAAATGAATAAACATGCGACGAGCTGATGGCAGAAGCAACCAGAGAATTAAACTGGAAGCAATTTCTTCCGCAGAACGAGAGCGAAACTTGCAACAACATCGCACGACGGTTTGAACAGGTCCCGGTGATGAGTACTGATGTGAAGGCCGAGTGGAATCGCCCTAAAAGCGGTGTACTGCGGACAGACGTCGAAAGGCGGAAAGAAAGTAACTCACGGAAAGACCTAAAAAATCAAAGAGCAAGGTAACGCCACGAACGTAGCATAAGGATGCTACAGATATGAACTGAGACGCAGAATACAAACAATAGAGAACATGCAGAGCAGAACGAGTCGTAGGTTAAGCAATCAACCGATTACTCTGTAGAGCGGAGTGATCTGATAAGGCATGACGGGTCAGCAACTGCAGTGAACAGCAGTGAAAAGGAAACATGATGAGGTCATAAAGGGCGTCTAGAATGTGCGCAGGACAAGAAACTAACATACGGAAATAGCTGATGAGAGGAAACGCAATAAAAACTTTTTGGGAAGGGACGAAGACAAACAAAACGGCAGCACATCGTACGGAGCAATAATCACTTTAGAGTTCGAACCTGAACAGTAGTAAGGCAGAATAAAGGCAAAAAACAAAGTATGACAGGAAACAACCTCGAAGGTGAAGAACGAAGAACAGGACGAACATAACAAAACGGTGGCAGCGAGAAACAAGAATAAGACCGTCATACTACAACCTATGTATTGACATTTACAGTCCGAACGTAAAGAAGAATGAGAGAGAAGGCAATCTCTAACCTATACACAATAATGGACTCCGGTGGAATCGAAACCCGCATTTCCGGAGTCGAAGGCGAAACAAACAAGGTGGCGGCCGGAGCAATGACAAAGGACAAATAAAGGAAAACAAGCGATGGTATGGATTAGTATAAGTATGCTGGTAAATCAACAAAATCGGGCTTTATTATAATGTATAAATAGGCCCACCGATCGTGGCATATCTGAAGGTGTACGATTAGGCCTTCGTTTGGTTCTTCCGAGTAATGCGGTTCTGCAACCATGCACTGTAAGTGCTCAAATGCCATGAAGCCGCAGACTTCCTGAATGGTCCTCTAGGCGACTACAAGAAAGGGGACGGTGCCTACGCCGCTTCAATCCGGTATCGAATACGAAAAGGTTACCGATAACTAGCAGTATGCTAGTTGTAAACCCATAATATCGTATTTTATTTTTGTGCATAAAGGAAAACATACTTAGAAATAAAACACGGCCTAAGCCTGTGAAGCGTACAGAAACGAGCTTAAATGATTACGAGA